CTAAATCAGCATGTTGGGGCCTGTTAGAGAGGAAACGTCCCTAGGAAAATGGCCGAACACAAAGAGATTAAACAAGCCGGCCGGGTTAACTGGTTGTTTTGTTGTCAACTGGGAGTAAAGGTTTGTTTGAATATCCGAAATTGGGAATGGGAAAGATATCCTACAATTCCCGGGGCAAGACGATGCCTAATGTTTTAACCTTTAACAAAAATGTTTTTCACAACAAAATAAAGATGCTCCGTTTTTAATTGAAAAGAATTTTTGTAGTATTAAATCCACAAGGAAACATTAATATATCAGTTTTCCCCATGTGGTAACAGTTCTTGATTTCATTTTATAGAAACACAGAAACCAAACTTAATTGGAAAGGAACATTTTATTAGAATGTTTAACACTGTTTAAATAATTACAACAGTTGTTGGGTACAGAATAACCCATTGTCCAACATTTTCCAATTAATACAAAAAAAGAAAAAACAATTTTTGATGTTTTAGGACAATTTACAGCTGAGCACAAAGCTTCAACCTTTTGAAATATCAGTGATTTTATACAGAATGATGTACAAAGGTTTACTTAGAAATCGAATAATTTGAATAATCTTGGAACAGAGACTTCCAAAGTTTTAACTGGAAAATTGGCACCTGACAAATAACATCCCCAATTTTCCTTCTTTCTCCTTGAAATAAGCCGAGACCTTTCTACAAAACCTTTTTACAAAAAAAAACCAAATAATCAATTTGGGCAACGTCAAATTAAGCAGAAATCAAACATTTATTTTAGACCCCATTTTTGAAATAAAAAAAAGGCATAAACAATTGGGAAGCAATGTGGGGTAAAACTAATTACTGCAGTCCAATGATAATAACAACGAAATTCTGCATACAAATTTCTAGCACCCTTTTTTCTCTTTGCAACATAAATGGAATTGGCCTGGCCTCAGCAAGCATGGTTTTAATTATAATAAAATTCGATCTAAACCATTTTGTTTGGCTATCCAAAATGGTTGGTCCTCAGGACGTGAACATCTAGAGGGGCTTGGAAAATGGCTTCAGTGGGTTTTTATAGTGGAAAGAGAAATATGAAAAAAGGATGAAATTAATTCTGGAGAACCACAACTGGAACAACATATAACAATTTTATTCTGTTTTTACATCTGTAACTGCCTTTGAGTTGGGAAGAAAGCGTCCAAAAAAATGTTAAGTAAGGAAATTAATAAAAGGTATGGCAAAATGCAAAGGTTTTGGATTTGTATAACATATTACAGCATTCTTGTGTCCAGATACATACAGGGAAGAGAATCCATTGCGTTTCCTCATGAAACCTCCAATATGAAATGTTCAGAAATCTAACAAAAGAATGGATATGAAAATACCAGAGGGTAGGTGTGACTATTTGGATGGAAACTGGGTTGTTGGTTTTGAACTTCCTCCTACCTTTCCTGTAACTTTCTACGATAAATAAATGTTAATAGTCCTTAACAGATTATCAAAAGATCAACAACAAGCCACTCATGTCCAACTTTTAGAGCCCAATAAACACCAGAATGAAAAATTAACACAAATAAAAAGAGACAAGGCTCTCAAAAATCTTTTAGGGACAATTGCACATGAACAAGAAAACAGAAACCCTCATCAAGCCCATTAAATGTTTACCTGCTTTTTCCTCCGCGAAGGACATAGAAACCAATGTGGGGCCCAAAAAAAATTTCAAATATAATGTTTTCGGGCTTATTTCCCGTTAGTGTGGTTGCGAAAAAGTTAAGAATTAAATTAAAAACATAGATTATCCATTCCAAGCGCGGAATTAATTTTTGAAAATCAATTGTTGGTTACCTATATGCTAATAAACTGAATTGTCCATCTCTATTTTTCTGTGCAAAGTGCCCATTTTAACACTGTTATGTTTACACAAGGTTTAACAGGCCCCCTAATCAGGTAGCAGGGAATGTGCATTGAGTTGATAATTGCGCCGGTACATGGAACACTGGTCCGAAAATTGTCATTTTAGAGGGCTTTAATTTATTTCATCGAAACAAGTTTTTTTTAAAAGTTAAACAACACTGAAGGTCCTTTAAGCCTAAAATACTTTATTATAGATCAAGTTTGAAGCACTTTAGTAGGGGAAAATCTTTGGGCCAAAGAATTATAAAGAAATAACACTGGAATTTAAACGAATTAACAAATTTTTTTTTATCTAGATTTTTAGTAACGATTTTGATTTCATTTTAGGCCCCATTTTGGGCACTCTAAATGTTTCTTTTTTTCTGGAAAAACAAAAACAAAAAACAAAACGGGTGTGAACGATGATAAGAAGGATTTGGCGAAAAGTTTAATTGGTTTGACCTCAATCCAACTAGTTAATGAACATTCTTTTCGAATTTACAATTATCAGTTTCCCGGTCATCTCCATGCTTTCCAGTTAGAGTCCCTTAAATGTGTGTCAAGTAAGGCAAACACTCTTCAAAATGAAAGGTTCGACTATAACACATTATTAAAGAATATGATGAAACTATATTTAAATCTTTCCTGAAAAAGGATTCCTCAAAATATTATCAACCAAAACCAAAATTTATATTTATGCTCCAAAGTTTGACTTTGGCACCATTATACCAATAATGCAATATTTCAATATGGGTTATAATTGGAAAAAAAAAACCCAAAAAACACCACTTTCCCAAGTAATCTTTTTAATGAATATTATGATACTTCCGTATACGTTTAACTCTACCTTTATTTTTGTTACATAACAATATAAAATAAACATTTTTTTCAATTGAATTTAAAACTTAATTGGGAAATACTTCAAACTTTTAGCTTTTCTTCCATTAGAAAACTGGGTTTAGTATAACAATGGGTAGCAATTTTTAGTCCTAGTTCTTAAGAAATTGGTATCTGTTATGATTTTTACAATATAATGTTAATTAAAAATAATTAATATGAAGAATTGCCAACAAAGAGCACATAAAATCACAAACAGATGTGATTATTTACCAAATGTACCTAAACACTGATGCAGGGTGAGTACAAAATCCTTTTTTCCTTGAAATAAGAAAGTAAAAACATGAAACAATTCCACAACTTAATCTATGACTCTGTTACAAAAAACAAATAATAAGATTGCATTATTTGGGCACCAGTTTAACATGTCATGTAAATTTGAAAAATTTCCTTCATCTGTTATAACTCATGTTACATAAAAGTAGTAAGACTAAGACAATACCTGTAATGCAGGTATCTTGGGTAATCTTAAAGACGCTATCTTAATCGTTGGACAAGGTAAGGGAGGGCGAAAGTTTCCCTGTTATAATTGATCGTTGGCATTGAGTCTATTGGTCGTCTATTTCTCACCGCCAATTTACATATCATTTAACATAAGAAGACTTATCTAAAACTTAAATTGTAGTAACATTGTCACATACTTGGCAGGAAGTTAAGGCACCAGTCGTGACTTATTGGTGACGTTTTCCTTTATCATCATATTTCCTATATATACAAATATTGTATATTCCATTTTCATCAAAAATATTATTTTCAATTTTTAGCTTAGAAATATACTTTTTCTTATTAGTGACTGATGGTGTCTCTAAGTAGATGAGTAAGGGAGACCAGCCTGTGTTCCTGTGTGACCATGTGCACTTTACAGTCTGTGTACCAGTCTAAATATGCTTCTAAAGTTTGTTTCACAAGCATACGTGCATTATGCAACAAGAAACATGGCAATGCCATGAAACCAGGTTTTCAATTATCACCATTGTAGATAAATATGTTGTAGTTGAAATACAAATACAAGAAACAAATTGTAACTATGTGCAATGTAAATCATGAATAATGTAGGAGGAATTGCACACAGAAGAAGAATTCACTATATATTCTGTATAAGGAAAAAAACAAAGGGCCATAATTAAGTAAAAAATTATCCAATCACAAAACCCCGACCCATATGCGCTAGGGCACTTTGAATGACCAAAGCCTTCTTGTGAAAGTTTTTTGAACAAAATCCCTTGAGAATGTGGAGGAGTTTGCAACACAGAAGAAATTGTTCACTATATATTCTGTATAAGGAAAACAAACAAAGGGCCATAATTTAGGTCAATATTACCTAATACAAAACCCGTTTCATGCCCCAGGGCACTTGATAACAAAGCTTCTGTGAAAGTTTGGTCAAAAGTCCTTTGAGAAAATGTAGGAGGAGTTGCCAACACAGAAGAAATTGTTTTCACTATGTATTCTATAAAAGGAAAAAAAAAAAAGGGCCATAATTAGGTCAAACATTATCCAATCACAAAAAACCCGGACAATATGGGCCCCAGGCACTTGATACAAAGGGTCTGTGAAAGTTTGGTCAAAAATCTGTTTGAGAAATGTAGGAGGAGTTGCGTACAGAAGAAATTGTTCACTATATATTCTGTATAAGGAAAAATTCAATGGCCATAATTAGGTCAAATATTATCCAATCACAAAACCCCGATAATAAAGGACACTTGGTGACAAAGGTTCTGGGTGAAAAGTTTTTGGTCAAAATCTGTTGAGAAATGTAGGAGGAGTTGCGGCACAGAAAGAAATTGTTAACGCCCCGCCCGTCCGCCCCCGCCCGCCCATCCGCCCGCCGACATACCTCAATCTAATAACCAGTTTTTTCCTTCTGAAAACCTGGTTAACAAATGATGACTCCAGTCCTGAACTCTATAAACATACCTTGCTGAAATGTAAGTAAACTCTTTTAAGGACAAAATGTAAGATCAGTTGGTTGGAAAATGTCACAATTAGTTTACAATTTTTTTGATGCTTAGTTAATTTTTTTCTTTTACCTGTGAAGGAATACCTTGATAGAAACAGCTTTAACACTGAAGGGGATTTAAAAGAAAAATATTTTATTACCATTTTATTTTCAAAATTTCAAACTTTAATTTACCAAAATCAAAATATGGTTTTAAAATTCAAGTAAAAAGTATTTAAACATGTACCTATATAAATCAAGGAAATTATGAATTCCTTCCACCTCTTGACTTTTCTACCAACAAGTCACCGTCCACATGGTCACGCGTATCTATACCATTAGCGTTGTTCTCAAACATTGTCTGGCATAACTGTAAAAAATAACATAACCTATCTGAAAAAGCCATACAGTTACTTTCTAGCTTTAGAGGTGGTGAAAGACCTAGGTGGCTCTTTCTGTACAAGTTCAGCAATAATCGGGCAAACAACTTTCCGAAAGTTAGCTGAAAAGCTGCTTAGCTGACAAGCTTCCTCGCATAAAATAATTAAATATTACATTTAGGACGCGAGAGATTTGCAATCAGCAACCACAAAAACTCGGTCACATTGGTTTCCATAAATTTGCAAAGTACTTTAATTCAGTTTTTATATACTTTTGGAGGCGTGACGGTTGTTGCATTTTTTAATTATCCCTCATGTGCAGACTTAACCAAACCGAATCTGCATTTTTCATGTAATTCTGTTGTTATTAATGCTTCCGATGGATCACATTTTATCAAGATTGTTTATATCCTATTTCACATCAGAAACAATGTGCAACAAGATGCAGTTAAAATAGTTCAAAATTTTAAAAATTAAAGCTATGAAATGGTGGACAAGAGGGTGAAAATGGGGGATACATTTTGGGCACCCAAAGAAAAATAAGCCAAAAAAAAACCCCCCTTAAACTTTGAATTTGACAATAATGTGGGTCCGGAATTTTCTCCTTTCTTTTTTTCCTAAAGGGAAACAAGGGGCAAAAAAATTTCCCTTTTTCTGAACTTTCTTAATCTTTTTAGTTTTAATTTTTAGATTTCTGATGACTATTTATGCTAAACTCTTTAAAAAATTTAACTTCCAGCTTTTAAAACTTAAACCGCACATTTAAGAGTGTATAATTAAAAGATACTTTGATACCAAAAATCACAAAATTAAGTATCCAAATGGTTTAAGATTAGTAAGATTACATAAAATGGTGTGAAAAAATCTGAATTGAAAACAGTATAAAGGATTGCATTTTTTCATTATACCTCATGAGCAGACTAAATCAAACCGAATCTTCATGTTCGTGTAATTTCGTTGTTAGTAATGCTTCCAGGGGATCACATTTTATCAAGATTATTTATTACCTATTTCACATCAGAAACAATGAGCAACAAGATGCAGTTCACAATGACAGTTCAGTTTATAATTAAGCTATAAAGTGTGTGACAAAATGGGTGAACACAAATGAGGATAAATTGGACACCAAAGAAAAATTAAGCAAAGAAAATCTCACCTTAAGACTCGAATTCGACAATAATGATGCTCCGGAATCTCTCCTTTCTTGTTTCCTAAATGTAAACAAAACAAAATATTACTTATTCTGAACTGGCTGAATGTTTTCATTGGAATATTTAAAATGTGTCTGATGACTACCATGCTTAATTCAAGGAATGAACACCAGCTTTTAAACATGAACCGCACATGAGATTATAAATTTGAGGAATTTTGACATTAAAAACCACACGATTAGGTATCCAAAAGGATCAAGATTTGTTAGATTACATAAATGGGGTGAAAAAATCTGATTGAAAAACGCGTATAAAAGGATTAAAGTGAATTTAAACCAAATCTGTAGTTGAAAACAATAAAATGAAATGACAAAAGTTACCCAGGTCGAGGTTTTGGAAGCTCTGTACTTTTCTTAAATCTATACAGGAATGTCTCAAGGTGCTGTCCTTTCTATAGAAAATAAGGAATTAATTATCAAGTTACCATAACAAAATAATATTCATTGCAATAAGATTCTTTCAACGAATAGTGTCGGCGCAAAGACAGTAATTATATATCATACAAGAGTCTGTTTCATATCAGACATATGGCATATATATATTGTAAATAAGACCAAAGAAAATGTTGTATATTCTACAAATGCAGAGGGTAGAAACAATAATGTAGAGGGTAGAAACAGAGAATTGGGGCATAATGCATCTGTGCTAGAGTTTAGATAGTTGTTACTTCCTTATTAAAATACAAGTAAAAACATGATTCAACTGAAGGGTAATTATTTAAAAAACACAAGGCCATCAAACCCTTTATTTCATCAATCCCTTTTTTTAAGCTAAAATGTTCCAGTTATCATATTCTTAGATCATATGAAGTTTAAATAAAATCTATGAAGGGTTTTCATTTTGTCTCTATGTTTACATGAAAACTGTATTATACGCCTTTTTAAGCTTTATTGTAGGAGATAGTCCTATTGTGTCCATCGTGCAATATTTCTGATTACTGAGGTAACTGGTACGTTTGAACCACCTACGTTCTGTTAGCTAGCTGGATAACTTCCTCACATGAAAGAATCAAAAGTCTTTGTCTCGATTCAAACCCACAGCAATGAGGTACAATTGGTTAGGAGCCATTCGTCCACGGTCGCCCTGCTTTTAATAGCTGTATTGAAACAATGTTTGCCCTAATTTACCTTTCTGCTGATAGAGCCACAAATCCAAATTCATATTATATTACCAAGCTCTTACCAATCATTTGCACAAAATAGTTTCAAATTTACCTCTTTAACAAGTTTTCTTGCACAGATTTTATTGCACGACCTGCAAAGAAAATGTTTATACAAGACGTAATATTTCAATGACCCTGGGGGTTAGGGTTGGGAAGTGCACTTTGGCCACGGTCTGGGGCGCATATTTTCGAAGAAAGACCGTTCTTGGTGCTTCTAGGCCCCAGGCGGTGCTCTGTTTAAGTCAATAACCACGTAAGAGTCTGCGTAGACTGTAAGTTCAAGCTCATCGTTCTATCCCATGTCTTAAAAAAAGGTTATTAATATTGATTGCATTTGTATGTATATACATGTATGTATGATGTATGTATGTATGTATGTATGTATGTATGTATGATGTTTTGAATAAATGGGGTTCCCTACTTGTGGACATGAAGCAAAAAATAATTCACTGACCGCCTTAACATTTAGTCTGCTGAACTTAATGATTTTCCCAGCTTTAAAGCAGTTACCAAGATTGAGGGATTTCAAAATCAAAACACAAAAATTGAGCTACCAACAGACATCTTCCCCTCTTTTCAAACCAATTAACGCATAAAAAATATTTAATTACTAACATATTTGAACATATCTTTCCTAATCAAACCAAAAAAATGTAACAAAAAAATCATAGACCTGTAATCATATTTCAAACTATTATATGCACACAAGTTTACATAACTAACTTACCCAACAGATTTACACAACTTACCTATTTTGATGTCTAATCCAAAATCAAATGCTGTTTCGGCAGTGAAAAAATTGTACAAAAGTTGACTGCCTTTCAAAACAGGTTTCGTCAACAATTTCTGAAAATATAAAACTTTAAAATCAAACCATGCCTTTGTTTATAAAGGAGCTAAATTAAGCATTATCAACATTTCACGTTCACTATGCTATTACAATAATACAGACACTTTCGGGTTCAATTGAAATCTTATCTTTTCATTCTTTTATCATTTTTTAGGGAAAGGGATTTCTGTTTTTTAAACTTTGATTAGCACTTACTTGTAAATAGTTTTCAAAAAGTTCTTTTTTTCCTTCGATAAACTCTTGTGTCTTAGTACCGATGAATTTCTTTGGCGGTAAAACGCAATCTTCAAGCTCAACTCCATGAAATTCTTTTAGTTTTTGATCCAGGGTATAAAATTCTGTATATTTTCTACCAACATTCCATACAGAATGTCCATCTTAAAAATAAACAGGAAACAAAATAATTGAAAGTAAAAACAATGTATAATCCTGGACAAATTGACTGTTTAACTAAAAAGGATACTTAATGGTCTGAGAAAATAAAGATGAAATGTTGTTTTATTTATTGTTGTCTATAATGCTCTTTATATGTTCAGTATTGCTGTCTAACAGTTTCTTAGGTATCATCTATAGTTGTAGCCCTAGATCTAGATTTATATCATATACACGACCAGATATAATTATTTTACTTTAATATTGTTTTTACATTTTCTGCTTTGTATTTTAACAGTAAATCTATCGTCCATCTGAAGTCATTATCGGAATTTATGAAGGTCATTTTTGTCTAGAACACAGTTATTGGATATTTTTCTAGAGTATATAAATCTACAATGATAAACTTTGTTGATTACGATTATGCCATAATAGCTTTGAAATATCCTAGGTTTTTTTTTACTAAGTATATAAAACATAGCTTTTAATTATTCTTACCATCTGTAACATCGAGACGTCTTATTTCCACTATAAATACAAAGAATTGTTTTTTAGGATTTTCAGGGTCAGGTCTCGCTCCTAATCTTGGTATTGTGACCCTCCATGTTGTAAGGTCATGGGGTGTAAACTGTTCTAACGTGTGCTCAAGATCGTCAAACTGTGCATCATCTTCTAATGAACTTGCTGACTAAAATTCAAAAGTAATAATTATTATTTGAAACATAAGGCACAAAGACAAAGAGACATAATATTTTAAACTCTAGAAATCAAAGTAACGAAGGGAGAGTACTCACAGCAACTGTAACAGTATCAGCATCATCTGTGTTCTCAATGTCCAACATATCTAGAGATGAAATAGATCTTGTATCTGAAAAATAAAACACCATATTAGTTAAAATAAATTTCAAAGATGACCTATGGCCTGGAGAGAGCAGCACGTAATAATCATTTTAAAGCTACATCTTAATAAATACCATATCTACATATGCCATTTAACCTGTGACCTGTAAGAGGGTAGTAACTAGTATAGCGCAACGAAATGCCTGCACTTGTGAAATTTGGAGACTGTAAATGGAAGGACTCCCATCATATGGTCAGGGTAAATCTTTATGACCAAACCAAACCAAACATATAGACCAAAAAACATGCCCATCAGATTTATTGATCAGGAAGAATAAAATTTGTTAAATATTTCGTAACCAACTGGTTTTGGTTGGGTTTTACGCCGCGCTTACACAAGAGGGGTTATATAGTAACCTTCCAGCTTTACTGGTGGAGGAAGACCTGAGGTGTCCCCAATGCATTATTTCAGGCACAAGTGGAAACCTGATTAGCACCACCAAAGTTCTGTACGCTAGCTGTATAGTTTCTTCACATGAAGCATCAAAAATCCCTGTTTGAATTCGAGCCTAGAGAGGAGAGGGGCAAGTGGTTGGAAATCAACGACCTTTACCAATCGAAAATGGGCGCTCAATATACCAACAATTAATTATTATATAATTTATAACATGGCACCAATTATCAACTTTACCTGCAGAATATGGTTCATCAAATTTCCTGTATTATTAATTATTCTGGGATCATATTGAGTCTTATATAACTTTCATGTTATCATAGCAACCAGATTCTAATTAAAGATTGAAAAAAACACACATCATAATGATGAACATTTTAGTAAAGTATTAAAAAAGAATAACAATTTATAATTTAGCAGGTAGCCTTGAAATTAAACGATATCAATATAAAATGAAAATTATAAGAAAAAAGTGCAAGATATACATCAAAGCTTCCGATACATTTCTTTAAAATAGCAACAAACTTTTACAAAATATTCTACTTTTAGAGTAAATGAAAACGAGTCTTACGTAGTCTTACTTGTAAATTAAAATATCTCCAACCACAGGGAAAAAATAATAGAACTGTCACAGAAATGACATTTAAATCCACGATCTCTTAGACAAAGGAGTTTATTTAGGTCTATATACTACAAAGGGTGTAGGAATTAAAAAAAGCGGACACAGGGGTGACAGTCGGACTAACTGACTTACAAATATGACACATTGATTACAGGTTAGCCCATTCTACATTTTGTTGTGGGGATATAAGTATGCTTTGCCTTAATAAACTTTCAACAAGTTTAATATAGAGAACTAGATGTAATGATGTCTTATAAAATGCTTTTTTATAATATTAAAAGCTGTCTACTGAAAAGGGAAATAATTCAATTAACTTTTATTATAACAGGAAGAGAAAGTGGGTCATTTCCCTTTGTATCTCCATTCACAACCAAAACAGGAAGTAAAAATATAGAGTAAATTTCCATCCATCTAGTCAGGTAATAAGATTATTTTCACATCATTGAAGAGTCAGTACAAATTAATTTTATAAAATACACAAAATTCAAATTTATAGTAACATTGGAATGCAAAAAACTTTCAATACTTCAAAGGACATGATTAATCAAGTCTTAATAGCAGATAAAACAGAGTAGAATTTTGTTTTAAAGAGTTTTGTTTAAACCAAAAATGAAAATAGAAAAATATGAATTCAAAGTAAGTCGAAGTATGGTTTATTACACCCTAACACCATAATCTATAATCAATTAAAATCAAAGAAATAAAGAAAAAATATATCAATACAAATATATAAAAAAATCAATACAAAATACTGGATCTGTTACGAAATACTTTACTACCTAAACAGTTCTATGTTCCATCAAGAGTGTGTTTTGTATTACTTGTATATTATTTAGTTCTTGGTCTATTTTATGATTTTCTTTGTTAAAATAATGTTTGATTTATATGTTAACAATGTACTTACTGTATTTGCAATAAGATGATAATATTGTAAATGGTCAAAAGCAAACTTGTTGCTGATTGCAAAAAACTGAACTGAACTAAATGCTTGTATGTCTTTAATCAATTTACATCATACTTTTCCTCAACTTTTTATGCAATTAAAATTTCATTACATTAAGATGTGATCTCCTCTTTTATTCTGTGCTAGGCATAAAGGATAACAAGTAATAAGTAGAAGTATTTAACTTTATACAAGTTTTCCTTTCCTTACATTACAGAATGTTTCAATCACCTGACAGCAGGAAACATATATCACTGATGTTATCAGAGGTTTTAGATGATATTGGTGTGAATGAAAGAATGAGGATGAGAACAAGAAGACTTTACAATTTGAAGGAGACTATGAATAATATGGTAATGAAGTCAATTGGATACAATATTAATTCATATCGTATAGGCAGTACGATTGAGGGCACAACGACTTTAGGACTACAATCAGACACAGACCAGCTACTTCTTGGGAATGATAACAATGCAATACAGGACAGGTCAGAGTGGGAACATGGCAAAATAAACTACTTCATGATACAAGATGAGAACACTACCCCTGGATACTGTTTTCTACAGCTTCTCCAACATGATAAACCTCTTCCTGACACTGTTGTTCCTAATGAATTCCATATAACTGATAAGAAAGGAAGAATATTGCATAAGAACAAAGTATATGAAACTGATGATACTAAATATGTTTCACAGCATGGACCATCATATGCTACACAGGGGCGAGAAGTATTCCGTGATTCAGACAGAGTGTACGCTTTTCCCTGTAAGTCATGGCCAAAGTCAGCAGAATCAGGATGGTTAGATAGACAAGGTATTGGCAAATGGCCAACACAAGAGATGAGAAGATATGCAGCCAGTACTGTGTGCTGTGTTGTTCCAACTGGGAGTAAGGTCAGTGAATACCCTGAATTGGAGTGGAGAATATCTACATCCCTGGCAGAAAGATGTCTAATGTTTGATTTAGATATAACACAAATAAAATGCTATGTTTTAATGAAGATAATTCTTAAATCTCTTTTAAATCCTCAAGGAGAAATAAACATCTCAAGTTTCATGTGTAAAACAATTCTATTTTATTGTATAGAACAAAAAGAGCTGAGCATTTGGAAAGAGAACAATTTATTAGAATGTTTAAAGGACTGTTTAATGAAATTAAGCAATTGTGTACAGAATGACAATCTGTCACATTTCATTATACCTGAAAACAATTTGATTGCAGGGCAATTTACAGCTGATACAAAACATCAACTTTTAAAAAATATAAGTGACTTTATACAGAATGATGTACAAAGTTTACTTAGAATCAATATTGATTATCTTGGACAAAGACTTCAAGTTAAACTTAACTTAGTACCAGAAAGACAATACGATTTTTTATCTTCACTGGATATTTGTGAAACTGTTTCTGCTTCCAATTACCTGTCATTCTCAAAGATTTGTGACAATGACCATTTTTTTTATTTAACTAAATTACATAATAAAAATATTGGAAGAATGAAGCAAACTGTAGAAAGGCTAATGGCTTTCAATAACAGTGATAATAATTTAGAACATGCTGCATTTACGATCATAGCGCCTTTTCTCTGTTTTTCATATGGATCTGCCCTGGCCTCAGAAAGTATAGGTTTAAAACATCAAGTGTCACCTCAAGCCTTGGTTTGGCTTTTAGATGGTTTTGAATCAGATGTCTCATCTAGCAGACTGAAATTAGCTTCAGTATTTTACAGTTCAGGGGATATAGAGAAAACTGAACTTATTCTGAGACACACTGAAAGCCAATTTTACTCTTATCCTGTTGTCTCTCTCTGTAACTGCTGGCATAGGTTGCTTCTACCACAAGTACCAACAGAAGTAAGAAGGGTATGTAATGAACAAATTGAGGACTGTGTCAAAAATATTACAGCATTTTGTGTCAGATTTTTAAAACTAGAGATCAACTGTGTTCCTCATGAACTACAATATGAAATGTTCAGATCTACCCAAGATGACATAAAACATAGAGATCAATATGATGACTGTTGGATGGACTGGGCTGTAGTTGATTCGCTACCTTTCCTGTACTTCCTACGATATAAAGTCTTCAGGCATCTTCAAAGGTATCAGGATAAACAACACGCACTTAATAAACTTGCAAACACCATAGAAACAGAGAAAAACCTTGGACATAAAGAAACAGCTTTCAATATTTTAGGTCAATGCATGGAACAAGAAAACAGACCTAAACAGGCAGTAAAATGTTACCTGTTTTCTCTGCGACAAAGAGCAAGAAACAATGTGGCAAAAATTCATATATGTCGGCTACTCTCCAGTTTACTAGTTTGCAAGAAAAATTGACAAAAAATACATATAGCATGAAAGGTTTAATTATAATATAATGCTTGTTCCGGTTGAGCTATCCTACCGATAAAATTTATAATCTTACGGGCTTATTTATCTGTGTATTATATAGGCTGCTAAACAAATATACAGGAGAATGAAACCAGAATGAGATTTATGTAATGAGATGTGTTAGCTGGGTGCTATATTGATCAATGGTGGTTCCCCATATATCATGTCAGCAACATATTTTACAGATTAATAAATTGCAAACCATTCATTTACAGTAAGAATGAGACACGAAATACTATCCAAATATTAACTTTTTTTTATTCCCCAAATGATTTCTCAAAAGTCTGTATTGTTTGTGTGTTTATGTTATTTACATGGAATTTTTAAAGCTATTTTGAGCTGCATAGATATTTTTATCAGAAATTATTTAAATATAATGTAAAGATCCTTTAGAAATTATTAACTAAATTCTATAATAATAATCTAAATAGTTATTGCATTGGGGAATAAATCTTAAAATTTGTGTATACTGATTAGTTTATTTTACATAATGTTCCATATAATGTTATTACATCTAATGATTGTTATAATATATATATTATGTAATACGTGTATGAGCTGATGGTCTGATTGTACAACAAATTTTCAAATTTGAATTTACAAATGACAGCATTCTTAACAATAAATCATTTGTGTTACATCTATTTCTTACTTAAATTTGTTTATTATTTCCCTATATGTAAATGGTATCAGCTTACATCATCATTGCAAGGCCAGATGCCCTTGATTATTTTGACATAAAAATATCAAGCTACTAATGTAGATATTATCAAAATCTTTAAATACTTTTCCAGGAAATCAAAACAATTTCAATTGTAATTAAGTTTGTAAATAACAATTATTCAACATGCTTATGTTGTAAAGTTGGATTCCAACTACAACAGGTTATATAATCATTACATAATGTTGCATAATATTATTCAAAAAGTAAATCATATATAATATCCATACATATTTTTCAAGAAATATCTAATCTTTTAATTTAAAGTTTAAACTTTAACTTAGATTTAAGTTTATTTTAAAGTTTAATCATATTGAACATTGTTGAATATTGTTTTATAGACATTTCATTCTTATCATTCATTAGTTAAATGGTAGAACTTATTGATATACTCTTTAACAGTAACTTAGCATGGCCTAAGACGCTTTACATACAATATATAGAGAATGGTTCTACTTTCAATTACACTGGCCTTTAAACTTAGTGAGATACATATTGTTAATTTAGCATTTGCATGATTTATATATGTTTGTAAATATGTTTAGTTGATATTAGTAACTAGTGTTAGTGTTACAAATATTTTGCAAAACTTTATTATTTTTTTAATCATGGTCATTTGAAACTGTTGCAAAATTGTCCATGAATCATAATCTATTTTAGGATATCATGTAAAGCCCTTATGAGCTCTGATTGGCTAAAATTCCTTGACCAATCAGAACAGTTCTGCATTTTACTGGTTCCACACAAAGTTCTGGTTCCCAGGAGTGTGCATAAATACGGGCACTTTACACAAATTTGACATTCTGCTGCACTTTTTTTGAAAAAAAAAATAACATCTCTAAAAGCTCTCTAAGGTTAATTAATTCATTATTTAATTTGTTTTGGCACTTTGCATTTAAATAGATTAGATTATGTAAAGCCACTGAAACATTTTTGGTAAATTTGTACGTAATTTTAGTAATATGTTTTTACAGAATTAATTAAGATAAATTATTACATGTATTTTCTCTTTGTTTTAAGTAGCAGCCATCTTGAATTATTAGATCTAAATTTTTGTTAATATAGATTAAAATAGGGCTTGCTACTATTCAGATTCATAAATTTAATAGCACAGAATCATTAAGTTATTTTTCATATTTTCCGTTATTACAATTTAACAACTTTTAACTGATTTAAATATTTTACTTTGCTAGTTAATTCTGATAATCACATTTTTGGTTTAAATATTAACAGTTTATATTAAGTGATCATTGTGAACTTGTTTAGCTTTAAGTAAATTTTAGTTAAGTGTAAATAAAAACTTGGTTCATTAAAAATTTGGTTGATTTCAATTTATTTAACATTTGTGTTTTATTTCCTTTTGCATTCAAAGGGTGGTGTCATCCTGGCGATTATATTTTATCCCATTAAAGGGTACTCCTGAGCAAACTAAGAACATCACATATGTTAGGTAATAAGTAACTAAATTCTGTTTTTAGAAACAAAAGCTTTTAATTTTTAATACTACAATGGTGCCAAGCGGAATAGAGGCCTACTTCTATTTTTAGAACAACTTATTAACATATTTTTCAACACCACAACACATTTATAACAAAACAGTAAATGACAATATTTGTTGCTTAATACAGACAATGCCCCAAAAACTGGGCCCAATAAAGGAACCCTAAGCTTTGACTCAAAACCAAGGCATTATTACTATAACAAGAAATGTTACAATAATCAAGAATCCTACTCAAACACTTTCTTATATACTAGTACTCAGTATACCTAATGCTTTCAAAAAGCATCAATGAATGAATGACATAGATGTGAAGACATACAACCATCAATGTAACATTTTGGCATCCAATTATATCCTTCACCTTTCTAGCTGTTGACCTAGGATGTGCTCAGGACAAGTCTTATTAAAGTACCATAAATTTATGCTTTGATATTATGCATGACACAATTGAAGATCAGACATGACCATCAATGAACTAATATGTCGTCATAATAAGCTGCATATCTATGGATGTTTATTTTCCAATCCATCCAAAATAACAAAGTTCTACATAAAACATAACCATATCTTCAGTCATGACTTTTTCCTAGCACCCAACACTTGATCATCATTTTCTATGTTATTTTCTAAATCAAGTAAGAGATTCCAAGGATCACAAGGATACACGTTGAAGAAAAGATAAAACCATCTTGGAAACATTGGATACAGTCTGATTTCAAATTAATAACAACAAAACATTAATATTGCACATTTATTTGAGTTTTATTTCATCAATAACACAGTGAACATTTAACTTAAAACAAAAATCCTTTGACATTTTTTTTATAAATATCAATCGCATTCTTGTAACACGATGCGGTGTTTACGCGATGATAATCAATATCCATTTTTTTAAGTTAACAAGAGCTGTCAGAAGGACAGCGCGCTCGACTTTTTTAGTGCTTGCCTATAAAACAAAACTTTGACAGTTAAGGGCACACAAGACTTTAACTAGGAATTTCTAAGTACAAATCAAGAAACATTTTCACAGAGTTATCTTCTCTTGCTTACAGATAGGTCTCATGATGGCACATAAGAACTCCAACTTCCAAAGTAATATCTCAAATGGTTAAGTCAACAAGTGGACAAGAATGAAAATCTTAACTGAGTTTCTAAGTCAAAAAGGGCCATAATTCAAATAAAATCCTTAACAGAATTACCTTCTCCTGCCCATGTTTTGGGACCATGATGGTAAACAAGTATTCCAACTTTCAAATTAATATCTCAAACAGTTCAGTCAAAAAGTGGACTGGTACTAAAAACTTAACCAAGATTCTAAGTCGATAAAAGGCCTTAATTTTTAAAACAAATCCTTGACAGAGTTACCTTCTCTTGCGTACAGATGGGGTAATGATGTGAAATAGCATTAAAAGTTTCAAAGCAATATCTCAAAGGGTTAAGGCAATAAGTGGATTTTACCCATATTCAATGTATTTTCTAAGTCAAAAAGGGGCATAATTCTGTCAAAAACCTTGACAGAGTTATGTCCTCTTGTCTGTTGATGAAGGTCGTGATGGTAAACAAGTATGGTCAGTTTCAAAGCAATACCTCCAATGGTTTTGAAATAAAGTGAGGTGGTACAAAAAACTTAACCAAGCTCAATACACTTTCTAAGTCAAAAAAGGGCCATAATTCTGTCAAAAACCTTGACAGAGTTATGTACTCTTGTCTGTAGATGGAGGTTATGATGGTGAACAAGTATGGTAAGTTTCAAAGCCATACTTGTAATACTTCTGAAATAAAGTGGGGTGGTACGAAAAACTTAACCAAGGTGTGACGCCGACGCCGACGCCGACGCGAGTAGGATAGCTCCCCTTTTCATAGAAAAGTCGAGCTAAAAAGGGACATGACTCTTAAAAATATTGCCTGAATGCCTCTAGTCTTACTAAAATATTGACCTAAGGATAATGCACTTAGAATTTACAATTGTATATTGTTATAATGATCAGTTTTGGAATCATTTAGCTTAATTAGCAATTTGACAAAACTTCTATGCTACGAAAGGACATTACCTTAACAAAAATTAGCTTTCAAATTAATGACCCTTGTCACACAAATGAACCTTGTTAAAATAAACAAGCAATCCAATTTTCTTATTGACAAATTTCACACTTTAAAATCATTCAACTGAAGAAGAATTTCGCGAAAAATCAAACTTCAAAATGGACATAACTCCAATTATATAGCTTTCAGACTTTCTCCCTTGTCTAACGACTGCACATATGATGATGAGCATTATTATAAGTTTCATGTTGAGACGTTTGAATAATGGGCTACATTACACACGGCGATAAAGACAATAACACAGATTACAATGCTGCCGTAGCAATCATTATAGCTAGAAGTTTTAGCTCATAAAATTTCCAGATATTTTAAAGTAACAAGAGTTGTCTGATGACCGAGTGCTCTACTATTCTCAGTGCCTGGCGATAAAACAAGAGTCTGGATAATGTGAATTTTTTTCTAAGTTCAAAAGGACAATAATTCTGTCAAAGTCCATGTTATAGCTATGGGTTTTGTATAGATAGTGACCACATAATAAGCTCCCAAGTAAGTGTCTAAAGTTTCAGCCAATTCTCTTATGTATTTTTCGAGTAACAAACTTGCACAAGTTACAAACTTGCACGCAAAATCTTTAATTAAGTGCGTTGCTGATGCCGGGGCGAAAACAATAGGTCTCCCAAGTCGAGCTAAAATGAACAGTTAATCATCAATTCATATATGAAGGGTAACAAATAATATTGTGAAAAATCTCTTGTTCAGAGATATTGTTCAAGTTTTGGAATAATGTTAAGTTCTTTTAAAATAATCGTAAAAGTTTAACACAAATAGTCCTTTGATAAAAAAATATCAATATTTTTTTTCAATTTTTGTTTAATATGTAACCATTAAAAATGAAATCTTCATGAATACGTTATAGTGGAATAAAGATTGAAAATATTTCATCGATAGAATGAAATTAATTTTAATGCAAGAGGAAAACAATCAAACACCTTAAAAATTATTTTGAAGTGATTTACATAATTATGTCTTTAAAGTTAAACTAAGTGTTCTAGCGATATAGTAATTTAACTTTTAGGTATTCGTTACCCTTAAACAAAACCTATGGCCTTTTACAACCTTTCGACGCTATGCGCTTGTCAAAATATATCAGTATTCAAAACCACTGTGGTCAAGAGCGATAAATAGCAGATCAGTGACAATACCATTTCTAAACTAATGTAATTTTTCTCTAATTGTGTCTAGGATAGGAATCCAAGTCAATCAAATTACAATATTTCATTTCAATACATAATTTATCACAGTAGGCATGAAAAGATATATTGCACCTCATTATTACTATATCTAAGTAGTTTTACATGAATTAAATAATAATCACTCAATGACACAAACATTATTTAAGCTGCTAGTAATTTGTTTACTGAACAAAATAGACACTTCTTTCTATTCCTTCAAACAACTCAGTTGATTATTACAGTGGATCTATAATCTACCCAAACAGACAAACATCCACTACATATATAGTTAACCTTTAACCTGCTAAATTTCTTACATTACACTTTGAAAACTGTCCATTCTCAATTTTGAGATACAAAAGTGAATATTAAAAGTAAGTCTGTCATTAGTATAGATGCTAGTTAGTCTTCAGGAATGAGAAGGTTGGTCTAGCCTTATATTGGTGGCAAATGTTTATCATTTTAGGTTTCAGCAGACTGGATTTAAGCACATGCGGGCAAATAGGAATGATATGTACATTATGAATCATTGTCCGTTCCCACTTTCAAATTTTGACTGTAACCTTAAAATTAGATCTCACAAACAGAACAATATAAATATTGAGTTAAGCAAATCATTATTGTTCTATATATAACGATTTCTTGCTGATGATTTCATGTATTCACTCAAGTTGATCACTGCTTTAACTCTGGAAACAATTCTGTGATGAATATATCTAGGAACACATAACTGAGCTGAAATAATAAAATGTAACAATACACTCATGTATTCTTAAACAAACAATTTTTATACAATAAGTAAAGTAATGATCTTTTTAATGCATGATATAACATGCAAAATATGTTTTCAATGGTCATAATTTTAGAAAGTTGCAGAATAAACTAAACTTAAGTTTAAGCTAATAAATGTCCAGTTAAATATATGATATTATATGCACACATATTAGTTAAATGAATTACAAACAATAAATAAATCTTAATTGATATTAATCAAATTCGTAAGCTTTTTAATTCCAAATGCAAATAACAACTTTAAATGTAATTACACAGTTACGAATATCAAATACTGTACAGGTAAGTGTTTGCCCTGTATATACCTGTTTGTTTAGTTTAGGTTGTTGTAAAGCATGTAGAATCATTAAAGTTCCCTCTCTATGTGGAGTCTCACCTATCACCCATACCGCTGGTTCTGTAATGAAAAATATAAATATGAAAGTTTGCAACAAGAGCACAAACAATTACGAACAGATTACTTCCAAAACTACCTAAATACATACACTAATGCAAGGGTTAGAACGAAATCCTTTTCTTGAAATAAGAAAGATAAAAACATGAACAATTCCACACTTACAATGACCATGTTACAAAAATAATAAGATTGCATGACTATGATACGTTCAACATGCTATGAAATTTTTAATTATTTTCTTCATCTGTTATAATAACTCATTATACATAAAATCAACAAGACAATTGTATTTTGAAGTTTGTAATTTAGTTGTCTTAGGTAATCTAGAGAACGCTATCTCAATCCTGGGGGAAGGCAAGGCAATGCGAAA